AAGGCTCCAATTGCTCCCTACATTAAAGGTAAATAGTCAAAATAAATTTAGTAAGGAAAGTTATACAAATACTATTGAATTATTATTTACCTTAAAGATTCGTCGTAACCTTCTATTATTCCCAGGGATGTCTGGATTAGGATTGAATGATGTAGGAACTATGATCTCTTTTGCAAACTCCATCATTTTATCCAACACTTCATGAAAAATTTTATGAATTGTTTGTGTTGAGTGCTGGAACCTGCATCCAAATTAAGTATTATTATTTATATAAAACTCGTGTTTTTGTCTGTAATATCTAAAAAGATAAAAAAGAATAAAAACTAACCTTGAAAAAATCTTCCCATTCTTGATTAGTTAGGGTGAACGTATTCATTTCAGGGTCATAAAGATTCCCTGTTTTATTCCTTAGGTACACCCATCCCGAATACTTTCCCTTCAAATAATCATATTGGTTTTTCAGTTGTTTCTGGGTGAGTTTTACATGGCAAACTTGTTCAAGTTTGGTTGCCACTTGCACCCAAGTCTCCTTGCGAAGACTACCTCCATTTCGACCCACCTTATTCACCTCTTCTATACAAGTCTCTAGAAACCGTTTGGTAAGTTCGTTTGTCCACTTCACACGCACWTTCTCATCCATGACTAAAAATAAACAGTCTGAAATATAGAGCATATAACAGTCTGAAATATAGAGCTATAACAGTCAAAATATAACAGGTACATGGAGATGCATAAACTGCACAATTAACAGCACTTTAGAAAACTCTTCTAATGAATAAGATAAGCCATGGTTTGAAAAGCACGCTTAGAAATAGCAATGAAMAAAGCTATGCAKAAAACTCTCGCTTATAAACTCACAATTATCATCCTTAGGTACTTATGGATGATAAACATGATCAACGACATTAGATCGCAACTAGAGTCATGTGAATCATATCTGATTAAATTCTAAAAAAAATGATAAAAACCCTTTAAATAATAACCAAAAAAGGAAAAAAGGATCCTTGGTTGATGCTGTTCATCATGGTTTTCAAATTCTTAACACAAAAGATACTATTTAATATATATATATATATATATATATATAAAATTAAAGATTTCAAGAAATCTTGATCATCTGTCCCTACTATTCAAGATCTCATCTCATATCAAACCATACCAACCAGCAGCTATACCTAATCGATTTCTGTTTCATACTCCCAAATACAACCCTTAATCAAATCAAATCCCTRGTGGGCTTACTCCAAGATCAGCATCTGATCATCATGTTTTCTTTTCTGCAAAGTGATGATCTAGTTCATAGTTATTACAGAATACATAGGTATAAGTTATATTTGCTTTTAAGTGTCCTCAAGCACTACACGTCTAATTTYCGTTGAGGTAAAATGATAGCAAGGTTCCCAATTTCTTCTTATAAATCTACAAGGGCAGTTCACTGTTTATTGTTTAAAGCCTACTAAGCAGACATTTGAAGTCATCCTTTTTTGCTAAGAAATAACTTCTATATCAACTTAACTATACAAGCCCATCTCTATGGTATTTATTGCAGCATATGACTGAAATATTAATTGTTCGAGATAATGGCCGAGGAAACCAATCGATTTTGCTCGACTGGTCCGTTCTGTCTTGAACAATTGAAGTCAACAGATAAAGCARTGAACTTTATAAATGGGTCTATTTTGTGTTCATAATTTGTACAGATTGAATGATAAAACTTGGCCAACAAAACAAACAAACCAAAAAGGGACTAAAACCAAGCATTACACAGCTTGTTTATGTATCCTCTATCAAACTCCCTTATAGGACCGTGGGGTTCTCATACAAAAACCCTTATAGGAGGTAAACCCTAAACCCGCAAAACAGAAATTAACCAAGCAAGTTCAGAAAATCGAGACATAGAGAGCTTGAGAGATCGAGATTGATACCTTAAATCGAGAGATCGAGAGGTAGTCAGCGACGYGATGGAGAGGTTGAGCGACAGCAGTTGAGCGAGAGAGAGATCRAGAGCAGYAGGCCACGAGATGGGGATGAGCGAATCMTGTTGAGCGTTGAGCGATGGAGAGGTTGAGCGACAGCAGTAGCGATTTACAGAGATGGAGAGAGCAAAGGTATTGAGCGATGGAGAGGGAGCGAGAGCGGCGACGCAAATAAGTGGTTTTCAGACTTTAGAATACCTCTAATACATTCAGACCTATTCACAGATTTTAAGCACTTAATTTAAGAAAAAAACAAACGCACTTAATAGCTCAATGTCTGACCGATTCCGACATAAGAGCCTATTAAGTGCTTATTTTTAAAAAACAAACAGCCCCTTACTAACGGTATAGTGGGTGAAATTTGCCGTCGATCGTATTTCCAAAATTTACAAAAAAAGAAAAGAAAATCAAAATGAATCTCCCGGTATTTAGTTATTTATTTAATAATTATTTAGTAATCTGTCAATGAATTGATCCGCAAAACGATTAGGACTTCATTACTTTTTTTTTTTTATTATTCCAGACAAAAGTTTAGCGTCGACCATATTTTATGGTGATTCTCTAGTCATCGGTGATCTTCTTGTGAAAGCAATCACTAGCCAAGGAGTTTGCGACTGTAGTCGTCCGTCGATAATCCACCACTGATCGATTTCACCTATGGATCACCGGCGGGCCTGTTCGTCGGTAATCCACCACCCCCGATTTTGTAGTGTTATTTACAAGTGTATTAAGTTGATAAATTTATAAAATATTTTAATAATATAATTAGTGATGAAAGTGTTAAAATACATTTCTTATTAGAGTTGATGCAATCCTTTTAGATATTTTGATTTTTGATAATTCATTATAAAAAAATTGTAACATAGTTATTAAAGATACTTTAAAATTATAAAGCCAGAAGTTAGGTTGGCATTGTTCAATGATAAATACGAGGCCTCGGGTCCTGGGATAGTGGTAGCTAGAACATGGATTTACTTGTATTTTAAGATCTTTGGTTTGATGAAATGTTTTTAAGAAATTTGAATTTTGTGAAAGAATTTGAAATTAAAAAGATTTAAAATCTTTAGCATGTAGGCTTTGGAGTGAAATTGAATTTTATTTCTTACCGACAATTTATAAAAATAAATTAAGAATAACTATAAAAATAATTAAAATGTTTATTAATTGAGTATTACCATACAAATTTTTTTAACATATTTTAAATAATTAATACAAACAAATTATTTTAGCAAGTATTTTTTAAATTAAATATGGTACTAGCTATTTCATAGGATGCTATTTTATTAAATGTTCTATAAAAAAGATTTGTTTACATGACATTTTGTTAAAAGAGTCATATAAAATAACTAAAACGACATTTTATTTAAAAATGTTCTAAAAAACTTATAACGACTTCTTTTTTTGGTCTTATAAACTTAAAACAGTCTATAAGGATACTTATATATTTTTTACAATTTATGAACCCGATTTTTAAATTAAAAAATTATGCTAAACATTTAAGATATTAATTATTAATATAGATCAAAATATATAAATTAAACAAGAAAAAAGAGAAATGTGGAAGTTCATCTTTACGTTTCTATATAAGTTTTTTAATTTGCCCAAGTTGATCATGCCTTCGTGATGCCGTCCATAACAAATGCTTTGGGTACACCCTTTAAGCTTTGAATATTTCCATACACTATACTAATAATTCACCTGCAAATTAATGCGTTGAATAACATGGTCCAAAACACACATTTATTTAAACTAGCTTCATGCCATTTCCAAAATAACAACCAAAAAACATTGAAAAATGATTTTCCTTCTCCAACTAATCGTTGTTGTTGTAGTCTTGATCTCTCATGAACATGAAGCCATAGCACAGTTTGTACCACCTTATTCTTCTGTAGTTATGCCAGTAAACAAACATACCGATGCTGCTAAGCCTCTCTATAGCGTTGAAATCATGACATCATACGTAAACATGCAATACATGCGCGCAAAATTCCTTATAGACATGGATGCTCCTTTCATATGGCATGATTGCATCCTGAAATGGAACACATTTCAAGACAGTTGCCCCCCCAACACCCTTTGCACCTATCCGGTTTCATGCGAAGAATATCAATGCACAGATGTGCGAACTACTTATTCATACGAAAATCCTTCCTGTCCTCCGGTAAACAATGGTTCCACATTGCCTGGTTGGGGTTATTGTACATGCCCAGTCACAGTGGTTGACCCTGTTACAGGATCTTGTGGTGAAGCCATGCTTGACTACGACGAGTTCACTGTAAACACAAGCAATGGTAGAAACGTTTTTACTGGTTTATATGGTGCTTACCCTAATGCTGCTTGTGCTCCTTCTTCGTCATTTGCATCATTTCCTGCGAATGTTAGCGGGGTCATGGCACTTTCATCCTCACCTTACGCATTTCCAGCTTATTTATATCAGCCACTGAGTAGAATCATAGCTCTTTGTTTGCCTAGCACATTGTCATCTTCTGGCCTTCTATTTTATGGAAATAGTTCTTATCACCTTCTCCCACAATCAAATGTCGACATAAGGAGTTTACTTTCTTACACTCCCTTAATAAAGCGTCCAGGTTCTTTTGGATACTTTATTGGTGTCAATGCCATTGTAATAAAGACGAGATCTATCCAACTTCTTGAGAATACCACTACCAAGCTTAGTACTATTGACCCTTACACCACTATGAGAACTGACATTTATAAGTGGGTGGTTCGAAGGTTCTCATTGGTTACAAAACGAATCCCTCTTGCAGCGCCAGTTGCACCATTTGGCCTTTGTTTCAGCACCTTCACCAACGGTACCCGAGTCAGTCTAAGAGTTCCAGACATTGATATCAGTATCAATGATGGGAAGAAGTGGAGTATATCTACAGCTAACTCCATTAAGCAAATAACGGAAGATGTGGCGTGTCTAGCGTTTGTTGACGGTGGTGCAACAAGTGAACCTGCAATTGTGATTGGAACATTTCAGTTTGAGGATAACTTTCTGATGTTTGATTTAGAGAACTCGACTTTTGGGTTTAGTTCTTCGTTGTTACGTAAGAAGACTTCTTGTTCAAACTTCAACTTTACGTTAACTGAAAGCAACTAAAGCTGTTGGGAAAAGGCATAGTATATGGAAATGGATACGTTTCCGTCCATGATTGCTTATCTAATAAAGACTTTCTTGTTGGATATTTACTAACTAGTCTAAATCCCATTAAGGTGTTGGTAAATGACAGAAAGTAATTGACGCTTGCTAAATTGTTTCCCAGTAATGGAATCGTTTATTGCTTTAGGAATTTAACAATGGCTTAATCCATTGATGTTTCAAATAATTTACTAGTTACTGGTTATCCGTTTGGAAAAATTTATCCGAGTCACTCAACGTACCCAGTCATCTTGAGCGCATGAGGGCCAACACGGTTACCCTTAGTAATTTTAGAGCGGAACAGTTCATTTGATGTCGTACCCTTCATGCCTTGCTCTTGGAATAGAAATTTAAGATGCTCGATCATATCGAATGATACCATGTTCTCATGTTGTTTTTGAAGCTCAAGTTTCATGATGATTAATATTAGGTGTAAGACCTCCAAGACATCATCATTCTTCTTGAAAGCATCTTTCTCAGCTCTCACTACAAGAAAAAATAACCTTAAAAGAGGAGGTATTATTTTGTACTTAAAAGTCTAAAAAGCTTCTCTAAAGCTTTTAAATAAGATTTTCAATTCTGTCAAATAGCTTTTCTGTATAACGGTAGGTAAAGGTTTTAGGGAGGGTTTCCGGAGGGTGCGTTTTTGTTAGCCTTTAGAGACGCTTATTTGAGGCTTTAGATACACGTCCAAAACTTCTCTAAAGGTTAGTCAACTTTTTATTCAAAGCTTCTCTAAAAGTATATATATTAGTGACGYTTTTAAAGTATTTGTGACGGTTTATAAGAGTCACTAAAAGATACTTTTAGAGAAGGTAATGGAAAAGCTTCTCTAAAGATATTGGCTTTAGTGACACTTTTAAAAAATCTTCTCTAAAAGTCCACGTTAGTTACATTTACAAAATCTTCTCTAAATATGATATTTAGATACACAAACTCAAAATCTTCTCTAAAAATTATCTTTAGTTACACTTTCAAAAAATTAATTCTTTCTCTAAAAAATATATTATATATATATTTCATCCATAATTCAGCTGCATATATATATATATATATATATATATATATATATATATATATAATATAATAATAAAATTAAACTAATAAATAATATCAAATTAATCAGGAACAAATTTATAATAATCTAAGAACCATTCAAATTTAATATTCAACTAGTTCATATATCGTCTAAATTTATCAACAAAAAAAACATCCAAAATCATCATAGCATGTTTAACGATCTTGAGTCTTCGAATGTTCGTCTTGAACAGTTAATGAAGATGAAAAACGTGGAAGTGACCAGCAAGATACAATTGACCTCATCATTTGTCGCAACTCAGCGACTTCATCAGTCATAAGAAAGAGCTCGGATTTGGTTGAAGCAAGCTCAGACTACGTTGAAGCAAGTCTAATAGACATCTCGGTGTGGCTCAATCGACCTCATGCACCAGTGCTATGTCACGAACTCGTAGAATCGCTCCTAGTGCTCGGGACCCTAGACCATCCCCGAATATATGCAGGCCTTTTACCTAAGACTTGTTGCATAATCTCTAGATCACCCGAGGGATTTTGTGTTGATTCAGTTTGCCGCTTAATCTCTACCATGTTCTCCTATGGACATAAAAATCATATATATAAATCGTAGTGACTTATAAAACGATGAAGACATGCAAAAGCGTTCGTTAAATGTAACTTACATATGAAGTGCGAGAATAGTCATTAACCCAACCCTCTTTTTCTCTATAATGCAACTTTCGAAAAGCCTCTATCTCATTGATAAGAGGATTGTCCGACAATCCTCTATTTCGAAAATGGTGATTCGGAGTAATCTCTGTACCGTTTAAAGCAACATACTTTCGCTTCCCCCTATTCTCAAAATTTTTCCTTGATAGCCTACAAAAACAAAATATGATTTTTAATTGTTATATTCAAAAAATAAATCAGATAGAAATTAACTGTGTAACTATTTACTCTTTACAATATGATTTATAATTTATAATTGGCTCAACAAGCAGAAACCAACTTTCATGAACTACATACAACACCACAGTTGTACAGGAACTGTTAAAATTAGGCTCTGTTGTTTACTCGATCATATGTAAACAGGTAAACAGATGCAGATTCAATGTGGATGTAAACATCAAACATATGTAAACAAGTTCTACACACAAGTGTTAGGAGCTGTACACCAAACAATCCTAACATAAGTGTTAGGAGCTGTTTACTTGAGCTGTTTAAACAGTCCTTAAACAGTCCAAATACACCAAACAGTCCTGCAATATATATAATCTAGTGCAGGACCAAAGACACTAAACAGTCCTAAAACAGTCCAAACACACCAAACAGTCCTAAAACATATATAATCTAGTGCAAGACGAAAGACACCAAACAGTCCTAAAACAGTGCAGTTATATAAGTAGAAACATCTCCTTTTACCAGCTATATAAGTAGAAACAGTGCAGGCAATGTGAATGTAAACATCAAACATATGTAAACAGGTTCTACACAAAAAGAGTTAGGAGCTATACACCAAACAGTCCTAACATAATTGTTTGGAGCTGTTTACTTGAGCTGTTTAAACAGTCCTAAAACTGTCCAAATACACCAAACAGTCCTACAACATAAGTAGAAACAGTGAAGGCAATTAAGCTGTTTACTTGATTTTTCTTTTCTTATATTTTTCTGTGCAATTAATGTCTATTATTTGCTGTTGATGATTGCCTGAAAGTAGTGCTATAAACTTCATTCTTTGCTGTTTTGCTTCTAATATTTTATGTTTTACCAACTATATAAGTAGAAACAATGCCGGTAATAAATACAAGAATGACTGTTGATCCAGGGGAAATGGAAATCTATGGAATATGGTTTCATATGCAGTGGTTAATCTTCTGATTACAAAACCACAAACCATAACAAGCAGATGATGTTTGATGTAAATGTTCTAATACTTGTTCCTTTCATGAATAGAAAGAAAGGTGGTCCACATATTTCACTCCTTGGACGATGTGGAAGGAAAAACACACAATTATCTTCATCAACCATAGCATCTGATCCATGTGCCTGCACCTGTATTTAGATGTAGATCCACTAAAATAGACCATAAAAAGTTGAGACGATAAAAGGAGAACAAAAAGTAATGCATGAATGCATATCATCCTCGTGAACTTTGCATCATTGACTGAAAACCACGATCAAATGAACTTAGGTTCAAAACGATTTACAAGATATGAGTTTTCTGAATACTTAATGACCACAGGTAGAAAGAAAATGAATTATATAAGAACCATTTCGAATCTTGGATAAAACCAACCATGCCTGCATCCTTATTTTCATTTGATGGGTCACATTATATAACATGGTTTGAGACAACTAAAGACGTAACGGTGGATCCCATCTTCAGCATGCCATGGTTCTTTTTGATGAAAAATTATGGAACACTAGAAAGTTATCCCCGCAATGAAGAATCAGAACTTTCACCAATAGATGATGACTATTTGTATTCAATAACTATTACACAACCAAATTGAGAAATAACAAACCAGAACCAGAACCATTAATCCCCAAGTCAGGCACTTGAAAACACATTTGAAGAAAATGCAAGTCGAGAGTAAGRAAAKACAGCAWACCACATAAATTTCTCTTTTGAACTCAGTAGCAAGACATTCGATTGCTATATCATCTCCAAAAGCTGCAGCATGGCCTTCTCTGTTTTCATCTACAGTTAACAAACCTTCCTCTGTATATTGCAAAGTGATGATGTTATATTCATCATCTGGAGACCCAGATATTGACATATACTTGGCCCAGTTTTGACCATTGTCAACAACAATACATCTCTCTTTATAAAGAGATTCCGCAACCAATTCTCTACAATGAACACCAAGAGCTTAAATGAAATATTTCAAGTATAACCCAACAGTTTTGACCATTGTCAACAGCAATACATCTCTCTTTAAAGTGGAATACATGAATTACAAATTAGAATCAAAGAGCATACACCACTTAGAGAACAGAAACAACAAATCTAACCGTTTTGACCTCTTAAGTTCCCCGCCTTAATTTTTTATTCTCATTGATCATGAATATATGAAACCTGAAAGCTTTAGAAACCAAATTTGAGTAAAACTTATTATCCAGATATGAATCTAAATTACACATTGTTCTGAACTCAATTGAACAAACAATATCGGAAGAAATTACAAAAAAGAAATTGCATGTTGATCTCGCAACATGAAAGTATTGTATCTGGAAATTGCATATTCATCTGGCACCATGAAAGTATTGCATATGCATAATGTATCGTGAGAGAATATAATAGCATTGGAGAAACAGAATCCGTATTTACCAAATCGCAGTTTCCTCGTTCAAAATCCAGAACCTTGATAGCCACAATCTCATTGTTGGTGATACACTTGGCTCGAAAAACAGAGGCGCTAACACCTTGCCCCGTCTCTTTATCAACTTTTGTTGAAGTTGAAATTAGAAATTGCCAAGTTCATTCCAAGTTCAACCAATATGAACACATTAGATATTATTCATGGTCCTATGAACAAATAATAATTATAAGAACATCATTGTGAATGTTGTGCATTAAAGTTTGAAAGAAATTAAAGATGAACCTTAAGATGCTCAGTTCTTAAAGCTTCTCCATGAGCTATCACGGTGTTGTATCCCTTTACTCATTGTAGATTATGTGTTCAGCTGCTTTTTTCACGAGTAACCCACACGCTATTAGCGGACTTGAAAAGCACAAAGAAAAATAACTGATGTCACAAGAACCTAGAGACCATACCATGGAGTAAGAATTGTGACTGTCTCAAATGTGACAACAGCTTCATCACCTCCAATCTCAAAAACTACTATTGACGTTATATTCTCTTGGAATACCTAATAAAACACAGTCAACATATTAGAAAAAATGATGCATAGCAGCAAATGTTGCAATTAAGAAATGCACAAACTTACATCTGCAGAAGACATGTTTTCATCCCCAAAAAACTGAATGTTGGAATTGGGTATGTGAAAACTCATCTCAACCAATGAATCTGTCTGCATTAACAAGAAAGAACTTAATAAAAAAATAAAGTCTGGAACTCCACATATGCATTAACTGTGAAAAACACATGAACTTTAAGTTGCCAAGACCATATTCGAAAAGCTCAAAATAAGCACATATAATCATATGTTGATCCAATGATAAAAGAGTCATGTATGTATATATAGTTACATATTTTATATTTAACCAAAAAATATATCTATAAGCTCAAAATAAGTACATATATTATATTAAACCGTAGCTTTTGAGTCTATTTTCAAGTACAGGAGGAAGGAAGTTAAATGATGAACATTATCAAAAATCCTAATTCATTAGTAGAAGGAAATTTTTCAGAATAAGATTCTTTGATGATCAATTGTAATAAACCAGAGCCACCGAATACAAATAAGTCAATCATGTAACCAAAGCAAACCTAATTTTACATTATAAACATAACAAGGCAAAACCAAGTAGTAGAAATGAGAATGAAGATATGAAGAGAAACTCAAAGTCGCTTACGATGAATCCTCAAGCCCTAAATCGAAGTCGCCTATCGTAACTCGATGAATCCACAAGCCCTAAACCGAAGTCACCAAACATAACTCGATGAATCCACAATCCCTAAACTGAAGTCGCCTACCGTAACTCGATGAATCTTCAAGCCTTAAATCGAACATACGAGACAGATTGAACTTAGGGGGTGTTTGGGATTGCTTATTTAAAACAACTTATGTTTTTTTGTAAAAGTGCTTATTAACTTATGTGGTATCAAACCGGAGTTTTGTAAAAAGTGTTTGGATTAGCTTATAGCGGTACCAAACTGCAATAAGCTGATAAGTTGTTTTTTAGTGTTTGGCAAATTTTGCTTATATTGTAAAATGACCAAAAAGGACAGTCTTGAGTGTTTGGGATTGCTTATTAACTTATTTGATTTTTTAACATATAAAAAAATTCTTTTTCATCATTTATAATAATATCTATAATAAAAATTTATATCAATAAGATTAATAATTCATATCAATAAGATTAATAATTTAGTATCAATAAGAATAATTAACAAACATATATACCAATACCATTAATAATTTATGATGAAATAATAGATTTATAACCAAAATATCAATAACAAAAAAATGTCAAACTTTTATAACCAAAATATCAATAACAAAAAATAGATCATCATTTATGATAAATAATCATCTAGATCTACCTATTAGATCTCCTGCAATCATATCTCTTACAGCACTCATATATAGATCATCACTCCTACGACGAGAACTTGTGTTTTCATGTGGTTCATTGTTGCTACCACATCCTTCATCATCAACATCAATATGAGGGTTGTATGATTCTTGTTGCGCYATGTCAAATGCTTCATCAAAACTTCCATTCATTCTAATATAATTGTGAATTGCCATCGACGCTAGCACAATATTTACTTGTGTCTCATAGGTGTAATTGACATGCATATCTTTTAGTATTTGCCACCTAGTTTTCCATACTCCAAAAGTTCGTTCAATAACATTCCTCAGCGATGAGTGATAATAATTAAATGTCTCTTTTGCTCCTTTAGGAGCACGTATTGCTACAGTTTGTCCACGACGGAAATCAAGTATGTGATAACGAATATTTGTTCCTTTGTATGGGGCAAGATAACCTTTAGTATTTGGATATCCGGCATCAACAACATAATACTTATCTGTTATGAAAAATAAACAAACTACTGTTATTCGTTTCAAATGGTATGAAAACATAAAAGTTTGCATTACAAAAAAGAAAAATACTAACCACCGATCGGATGTGGAAATTTAAGTTCAGTTCTGCGTAAGGCTTCAAAGAATATACGTGTATCATGTGCAGTTCCCTCCCATCCAGCCCATGCAAACGTAAAACACATATTAAAATCACAAACTGCCATAATATTTTGCGTCGCATATCCTTTCCTACCAATGTATTTTGCTTGCTCATGCTCTCGAACCGATGCCCTTACGTGTGTCCCATCAATAGCACCAATACAATCCTACACATATAAGCAACAACGGGAGCATTGTTCGCGTCCATTACCTGAATAACAAAGTTAATAAAAAGACCACCAATGTATTCAGTTTCCATTATGTTGTATAAATGAGTTCCAATGGCAATCCTCTAGCACTATATTCTTAAATCCTTTATTTCAAAATATCCTAAAAAATAATTAGGACTCCCAAATAAGCATGGTCCTATAAACTTAAGCCTTGTGATGTAATTTTTACAGTGTTTTTATTGTAAAAATTCGGTTTTTTTCTTTTACGACGTTTTGTTGTAAAGTTTCCAGTTGAAGCTTAAAATCGTAAAAAAAATTCATATAAAAAAAATTGGGAATAACAAACCCTAATAAGCCAATTCAAACCATAAAAGAAAACCATACAATTAGGCTTACCTGTCTGATATGATGACAATGCCGATGATTAGAGTAGTTGGAGCTTAATTCACTTGCCGATGATTAGAGTAGTTGGAGCCGATGACAGTGTCGATGATTAGAGTTCTAGGGTTAGGGTATCGATTTGTTGGTAGACGATGATGTATATATGGAGGAGAAGAGATATCGATTGGAGAAGGGGCGATGATGATTGGAGAAGAAGAGATCGATTTTTGGAGAAGACGTACCTCTGATGGAGAAGACGTGTTAAGAGATATCGATGTTTAAGAGAAGGATATCAATGATTATTAGGGATAAATGTTAGACAGGGTTAAAATGGTAAATCGGTAATAAGTCGATTTTCATAAGTCACTATGGATTAACTTATCAAAAACTGCTTATTACCGGTTTGGCACCGGTATAAGCAGTTTTTTTTTTTTTACCCAAACACTCCAAAACTGCTTATCTCCGGTACCAGACTGAAATAAGTTAATAAGTCAGTTTGATAAGCAATCCCAAACACCCCCTCAAACTCGATCAAAAAACGAAATCAAAGATCGAAATCATCAAAGATAAAGCAAAGTGAAATCACAACGATTGTTGAAAAATCAAAGAGAAATCATACGGGGACTCTCGTATCTCCTCTCCGTATAGACTCTCCGTTTGATTTTCAATAATACTTTTATTATATAAATTTGATTTATTAAAAATAGAAAAGCTTTAGATATGCTTTTAAAAATTATAAAAAAGTAACTAAAACCTTTTGTTTAATTTAAAAAAAAAATAAAAATATTTTATTCTTTAACGACAATGTAGAAAGTGTTTCTAAAGCTTTTGAGTCGATTTTTAGAGACGTTTTATATAAGAAGCGTCTCTAAAAGCTTTAGGACCGATATACATAGCATATTATTAGGTTTGAAATCCTTCTCTGAAAGTTGTCTTATCTTCAGGTACATTTTTCACTTTTTTCATGTATTTCCTTCCCTAAGCAACACCTTTAGATACACTTCCAAATCCTTCTCTAGAACTTCCATCACTAAAATCCATTTTTCTTATAGTGTCTTAGAGAATTTGATTTAGGCTATTTAGGAACAACTTGCTGTAGTACATAAGGCTTCTCTTTTAGGTTTGAGGACAATCACTACAAAACTGTGATGTCACTTTGATGATCAATCTTCAATATTCCATGGCAATCTTCATAAAGCATTCAAGAACATGAGAAGGATAGTTGAGAGAGAAAGTCAAACATTCAATCTTGGTCAAATTCTATATTATTACGTAAACTGATATTACAATAAGCTCTTTTTAAAATTACACTAAACAAAATTTATATATAGGGTCAAACTTGAACCCTTGAAAGTCAAAGTCAAACTTACTATAAAAGGTCAAACATGATGTCTATTTTATTTATAGACAATTTTATCTTTGAAGACGAATACAATTTAACACTGATTTTCAGTCCTAACATTCTCCCCCTTTGTATTCCGTTTTGAAAGAATTTGCGCGCTTTGAAACTCGTTTGAACTTTGTCACTTTAAGCACTTTATGATTTCTTCAGAAACTTCAAAACAATCTTCACTTGAAATCTTCACACGATCGTTTGTTGAGAAAAATCTTCTAACATTCTCCCCTCGAATGTAGAACAACGATGATCTTCTCTTTTGACAAAGTAGAACAAAAACAACAACGATCTTCAAAATTGATCTTTAAGATATGAACTTCAAAGAATCTTCAGACAAACAAATTCGAACATTCTCCCAAAAACAAATTTTTTCAGACAAAAACTCACAAACTTTCTTCTTCAAAATTAAACAATCTCTTCGATAAGAAATCTTTATCAGTAAACTTTTGAAACGATGATCTTCACATTCAAAAACTCTCAGACATTGTAGCACAAGAATAATCTTTTGTAATAATCTCCAGTCACACTTCCTTGAGTCTTTTGTCGATCTTTGGTGTTACTCCCTTTTGATCTTTACAACATATTCCCCGTATATCATTCGGAATTGGTCATTTCATTCATTATTACATACTCTCCCTTATGATGAAATGAGAATCATTACATCATACACAAGAATGAATGAAATCTTCCGCGAATGCCGTCAATTCAAGAAATTGTAAGGAGATCTTTTCAAATCCACTTGTATAATCTTTTCAGATTAAGGGAATGGGAAGATAACAACCAATTTCAACGTATGAAATTRTTTTCAATCTTATAAAAAAATTGGCTTGTGAGTATAACAGATATACTCAGTACAACAGATGTACTGTATATATGAAACTTTTTAAGGTTCATTTCACCAGGTCTTCCATTCAATCATCGATAGCTTAATAATAGCATATCTATGAATGTTTTGGCAAAATAACATATATAATGTAAAATCTGTGTAGTGTAGAAAGATAAAGCAACATATGCTTCTGTTTAGGCTCAAAAAGATAATTCGTGTGGACTACACAAATTTATCAGACTCAATTTGTGATCAAAAAGACTTGAAGGAGGGGACATATATCCTTCTGTTTCAATATCAACTTTCTCCGAATGAGAAACTGATAGATTGTGAGCTGCGTGCCCCAAGTGTTATTGAAACACTTATCTGTTAAGAGATAAATGAGTAGCTGGTGGGGTTGTGACAAGAATTGGCCTGGGCTTTGCCTTTTTCAATATTAGTCTCAAAAGAATTAAGAACTAATAGATTATGTGGTATGCCCGGTAATTTGAAGTTCGGAACATGATTCTTATGTTCTTGTTGTCGTATCACTCTCATCAATTCTTTTGTCTCACAACAACTACCCCTCTCTTTTTCATTTTAATCTCAACACACATACCCATTTTGAGTTTAAGCTCATTCAGATATGGTTGTCCTCTTGAGTAGGTTTGTCGGTTCTGACATTCCATAGAGATATTTCTGATAAGCACTCAGTCCCTCCTAAATTTAGCATTATGCTCAGTTGATCACAATGATTGATCAAAATGTTATTGCAAATAAAGGACAATGATGATATAAAAATAGATGAAGATATTTAGCTTTTAAGCACAATCAATGAAGGAGTGATACGACAACAATCATATTATTCAGTATGCGAGAGAAATGAATGAAGATCTGTAAGAACAAGTTCACATATTCTGATATTCAAAAAAATTATCAAATGTATATCAATCAAAGTAAAAAATATATCATAAAACAACATTTGATTACAAACGAGTGTATTATCACCGAACATAATATTATTATAAGAGACGTGATAATAACAGTTTGAAGAATAGCTGAAACAGGTATTGGAGTTATGTTCGATGAGAAATTACGCAAGTAAAATATCAGGAAATACCTGTTCAGAAAATGTACTCGTTTCCAAAAAAAAAATAGTCACTTTCAGAAAACATTTATTCAAAAATTTCTAGAGACTCCTCCTAGAAATTAGATTTAAGTAATGTTTCAGTTCAGCTCAAAAAATTAAAAAAAATGTTATAACCAGGTTTGAGACAACCTAGGTTGAGGTAATTTATACGTGTTTATTATATGGCTTACGAGAAATATGCATGTCTAAGTAGAAATGCATGAACTATATATGTGAATATGATATTGTACATGCATATATGGGAAAAGATGGCATGATATGTATGTAATTTATACATATATGCATGTGGTGTAAAGCATACATGAGGTGGTGCATATTTGTGATAAGTTATTCGGGTGGAAACATTATTATATTACTTAAAAACTTATATCTTCATGGTTAAGAAATCATGAATTTTATAATGCAAAACCCACCACCCAAGATTATTTCTRTTGGTTAAAGCTTTCACCGCCTATGAGTTTTATAATTAAAATAATCTTCACCGCCATGGTGGGAGTATTTAAAGAAATAAAAAGATAATATTCTATCTTATCATTTCATTTGAAGAAAAATCTGTTGAAAGAGAAAAAGAGTGTTGTGGCGGTGAGAAGTGTTCTTGAACAAATCTTTTGTTCAAAGCTGTTTGAAGAACTTGTGATTTGCTGTGTGTTTTAAAACTACAGAATCTGTGATTTGTTAATGTGAGTTTTTAAACTATTGTTGATTATACACTGTGAGTTTTTTATGACTATAACCTTTATATATTTGGTTATATAAACTGCTGGGTTTTGATATTGGTTTCAAAGAAAAGATGGTAAAACTATTTTGATAGTCTAAAGGTGTTATTGTTATATATTCGAGTATTAAAAAATGTGTTGGGAAGAATAAAGAAGGGATTGCTTCTTTAAAACAGTTTTGGAAATGATATCCTGTTTTGAGGATTTAAAAAGGGATATGATGTTTTGGAAATCATGGAAAGAATAGATTGTTCTTGAGTTTGAAAGGTTTTGATGTTAAAATTGTTGGTTGAAAACTATAGAGAATATTCTTTTGAGACGATTGTGATTTTGATCTGTCTTCATTTGGAATTAATCTATAGATGTTATGAATAAAACTATGAATGAGAATTCAATAAGATGGTTGTGACTGCGGTCCTTCATCCGAACTAATTCATAGATTTTGAAGAAGAAATAAGGGTGACATATCAAGAAGAGGTGTCTTTTGAAATAAGGGTGGCATAACAAGGAGATGTGTCTTTTGGAATAAGGGTGGCATATTAAGGAGAGGTGTCTTTTGGATATAAKGGTGGCAATTGTGTGTGAATATTATAGCTCTTACTATTATGTGTTTTAAGACTACAATAGATTTGAGTCCTTAC